GCAGTTCTTCTTGTATCGTGTGTCTCTGGATGTTTTTATGGAGTGAACTTCACACTCCCCACGTGAATTACACACACGCTCTGACCGTCTCTGCTGCCAAACAGACTGACACACACTTTTATTGCTTTATCATGATTCAGAAACAAAATCATCCCAACTTAAAAAACTGTAGGAGGAGGCCAACTAACCAGAGGGTTTCTTGTTCAATAAATGGCACAAGCACAATTCTACATATTACATACATGATTTAAAGGTCCAATATTACACAAAATTGACTCTTGTGAACTTTAATCCATGTTAGAATTTTCTTACTGCACTGAAAACAGACCTGGAGTAGTGTTTTTGTTTCATTCATACATGTTTGAGGAATTGTGGATTATTAGTCTGTCTACATCTCCAAAGTTCAAAATGCTCTGTTCCACCTTGTGATGTCATCAATAGAAGTAGTTTTCAAGTTAACAACTACATTTTACTTTTAGTTCAGGAGAGATTGGTAATTCCACATGTAAATGAAATAAAACACAACTCAAGAGTATAACATAAATCAGAAAATGGCATAATATGGAGTATGGAGAAAATATGTTGAAAACTTTTTAAAAAATATACAGAGGAAAATGAATATGATGTTAATTCCATCCATTAATCCATTTTCTTCCACTTATCTGGGGTCGGGTTGCGAGGGCAGCAGTATAAGCAGAGACTCCCAGACTTCCTTCACATTTCCTCCAGCTCCTCCAGGGGGATTCCAAGGCATTCCGAGGCCAACCGAGAGACATAGTCCCTCCAGTGTGTCCTGGGTCTTCCCCGGGGTCTCCTCCTGGTGGGACATGCCCAGAACACCTCCCGAGGAAGGTGCTCAGGTATGGAGTAAGAAAGCTGTCAAAAATATTCGTGCGCGTAAAATAGAAATTCGTGCGTATTTGGCTGTAGTTGCGCATAAAAATAAATATTGTAAACTCTCAAATGAGTCCAGTCGTACATAAAATATATTGTGTGTATTTTATCCATCAGAATACGAATTGAAAAATTACGACGTCATGAATTACAATCACGAAATGAAAATTTACGATTACGCTTTCATCAGTACGAATACGAATTCACAGACGGAACTTTACTGTCAAAAATACGTCATCACTTCACAGACATTATTCATCGAGCAGAAGAAACATCGATCAAGATCAAGACTGCGCAGCTCAAGTTTGTAGCAGAGTAAAAACAGAGTGGCTGTAGCCGTGAATGTTTTAATCTAAACATACAGAGAACCTGATATTTGTTAATTAGCCCTGGGATAACGTTACGTCGGATGTTCGCCAACTGGCTCCACTATGTTATCTAACATATAGGTGCAATTTCCCGTTCAAAGGAGGTGTTTCTACACAATATTATACAGCAGCGTTCGGTTCCCGAATTCAAGACATTTTTACAATAGATTTTAATTAACCCACTTGTTGGTCGCTGTTGTAGCTTCTTGTGCTATTACTCTGTTTTTACTCTGCTACAAACTTGAGCTGCACAGTCTTGATCTTGATCGATGTTTCTTCTGCTCGATGAATAATGTCTGTGAAGTGATGACGTATTTTTGACAGTAAAGTTCCGTCTGTGAATTCGTATTCGTACTGATGAAAGCGTAATCGTAAATTTTCATTTCGTGATTGTAATTCATGACGTCGTAATTTTTCAATTCGTATTCTGATGGATAAAATACACACAATATATTTTATGTACGACTGGACTCATTTGAGAGTTTACAAATATTTATTTTATGCGCAACTACAGCCAAATATGCACAGATTTCTATTTTACGCGCACAAATATTTTTGACAGCTTTCTTACTCCATACTCAGGAAGCATCCGGAACAGACGCCCGAGCCACCTCAGCTGGTCCTCTCAATGTGGAGGAGCAGCGTCTCTACTCCGAGCTCCTCCCGTGTGACTGAGCTCCTCACCCTATCTCTAAGGAAAACGCCCAGCCACCCCGCGAAGGACACTCATTTCAACCGCTTGTATCCACGATCTCGTCCTTTTGGTCATTACCCAAAGCTCATGACCATAGGTGAGGGTAGGAACGAAGATTGAGCGGTAAATCAAGAGTGGTTCGATACAGCGACCGCATCACTGCCGACGCTGCACCGATCCGCCTGTCAATCTCACGCTCCGTCCTCCCCTCACTCGTGAACAAGACCCCGAGATACTTGAACTCCTCCACTTGAGGCTTGAGGATGTTAATACCAAATTCTATGAAACATTTTATACATATATTATTATACTTAGAGATGTAACAATATCCAAATTTCTCGATACGATATTTTCACGATATGCTTCTCACGATATTCATTGCAATATTTTTTGACACTGTGAATATGCTACGTTTTCATTAAAATGCCTTGACAAGTCTTAAACCAAAGAGTTAAGATTTAATAAGTTATTTGATTGTGTAAATTGGACTGAAACAGAGCAAAGGATCATGGTCTATGTAGTTCCCTCTGTTCTTTTAGCCATAACAATGAGTGCGTATACATGCACATCAATAACCCGGTTATTAGCCATATCCCGGTTATGTCAGTATTCGGGTTACTGCGTTTACATTCGCACTGAGAAACCGGGACACTCATATTCGCGTATACATGATCAAATGGAGTATCCCGGTTTCTTGACATAATCTTACAAATGCGCAGGCGCAAAAATTAACTTAAATCAATTTCATAAACCAGGAAAAATACAAACCGTGAGCTCCTTTAGCATAAGAAGCTAAGGAGCTACGAGATCTCCCACAATCCACTGTGCAGATTCTTCATTAAAATCTTCTGCATAAATAAACTCAACTTTACAACATATAAACCATAAACACTATAGACACATCAGCCCGTTTGATCAGATAATTCAGCTCTGATCACATTTGTTTACGTTTTACAGAAACGAAACTTAAGACCGTAGGCTAATTAGCATAAACTGTTAGCGGCGATAAAAACAACTCGCTCCTTGCGCCGCTGATGCGATCAGTTTCTTTTGGACTAAATGACACGACTCTGTGGATTATGTGTGTTATTTCTGTGACAGAAGAGGTGCTGATGATGGTAAGTGTGTTCTGTGCATATAGAGTATAGGAGATAGTTCATGTTTTAGTTTTTCAGCGATCACACGAGTGCAGGTCGTACGAGTGCAGATTGTACGTGTGCAGGTTTAGCGCAGCTCTTAATTTTACAGTCATTTCACTCGTTTGGTCACTTTATTTATGTTGGTCAATTTATTTATGTGACTACTGTTGTGGTGAAAGGCTGGAAAGTGTCTTTTGGACGCATGCGCACTCAACTTTATGTTGCAGTAACCAGGGGTACTGCGTATACATGACCACAAGTAACCCGGTTACTATCGGAATAAACCAGCTACAGTAACCCGGTTTCTAATAACCGGGATACTGCCATAACCGGGTTACTGAAACCGGGTTACTGCGTTTACATGCACCATCAAGAAACCGGGATACTCAAAAAACCCGATCATAACCGGGTTACTGATGTGCATGTATACGCACTCACTGAATTCAAGCAAAGAGA